AGTTGTAAAGGGGATAGAGATTACCTCAATAATGGGGGGGGGGGGGAGGGGGAGGGGGAGGGGGTGGGGGTGGTTTTGAGTGATTTTTGGGGGAGACTAGTGAAGTTTTGGCATAAGAAGAGTTTTTTATGCTTCTAGTTGCATTTATATTTTGTTTTTTGATGTTTGGAAGTTTCTGTTTGGTTCCTTCCACAATCGAATTCTTCTGCTCAGTATTATCGGTCTTGTTTTTCTTTTTTAAGAATGTTTTGTCCACATATTCACGATGCTTTTATTAATCAAATACATTTATAAATTTGTTTCATTTGAATGTGCTCTCTCCATCAACCAGTTTTGGGAGTTCTTTCTCTCCAAGTGGGAGCCGGCACCCTTGAATTTTCTATAATAATTTTGATTTTTCGTAGCTATAACGTTAAATATATTATTGTCGATATATATTTTTTATAATAAAAAAATTATGTAAGGAAAAGAAAAGTTATAACACATCATATAGTTTGGTAAAAAAAAAAGAATCTCTATAATATTATTTGAGAAATCAGTTTTCTATGTGTCGCTCACGTTTATTTTTACAATGGTTGATTATAGTGATACTTTTAATGAATTAAAAATAATAATATTATTTTTTATTTAGTTTTCTTTTCAAAAATTCCAAAAATATATGTAATAAAAATAAATTTGTTATAAAGTCATAAAAAACTGAAAACAAAAAATATATATAATATGATTTCATAAAAAAAAAGTTCACAAAATAGTAATAAAACATTTAAAACTATTTTTAAATAACATAAATATACTTTTAGATTAATAAAAATAGTTTATAATTAGTATTTTTTGAATTTTTTATTTATTTTTCATATATTTAGTTGACTATAATATCTTTCAATTACATAAAATTATCTAAAAATATATTTTAATTATATAATATTATTTTCAAATAAAATCACAGTTTTGTGTAATATTGGTTGTGACTGTATAGTCTCATGAAAATTATATAATATTATTTTCAAATAAAATCACAGTTTTGTGTAGTGCTTATTTTTAAGAGGTATTAAAAACTAAAAATAAATTTAACAATAAACATCGCTTGATCAAATAATTAACAATTAGTTTAATAAGCTAGATATATATAAGCTAGATATATGATATTTTATCATTATTAAAATTATTTGCTTTTTCAATATTAATTTTTTTTTTTAAATTTTATGTTTTTATGTGTGTGAAGCTAAATATAACCATAATCAAAATACCAAAGCAAATCTTAATTTCCAGTTTTAAGATTATTTAAAATAAATTTCAGTTTACATTCAATAAATCTAAAGCATAAAATTATTTAAAATTTATAAATATTTTAAAATTGTAAATATTGATATAAGTTCATGAGCTTCTAAAAATGTATCAACTACTTACGTATGTTACCAACAAGAAAAGGTTTCCTCAGATACAATGACATCATTCAATATTTATTTTCATTTGTTAACATAGGAATATAGGATTCGTTAGAGGAAGTGTAATATAGATGTTATTTAATGATTGTTCGTAATATATGCGATACACTGATATTCAGTGTCCTGTGCTTTGATTATTGAAGTTGTTTTTGTTTAACTGGAGATAAGACAAACATAATCAATAAAATTGCACATACGGTTAGATGGGATTCGGTGGTACTTGGTTGGTCGGTCATTTTATTGGACTTGTCTAAATTTCTAAATCAAACAGTTTGTAGTATTTGCATATGTGTACATAATACATTCCGTAGTAATCCAGCAAAACTTAGAATATAGATGGTTTACTAAATATAATGTTCTTATTTTATGCATTTTACACATTTCTGCTTTTGTTGTCTAGCCTTTTTCTGTCCAAAAGATTTATAATGTCATTGTAATAGATTATGATTAAAGTAGAGGTGAGATATATATGTGGTTGTGTATAAATGTACATGTATAGATATGAGTCTTTGTATTTATTAAATTAGTATAATATTGGTTCTGACTGTATAGTCTCAGTAAAGTAAAATATTATTGGAAGATTCATTTTCAGTTGAATTACTCTAAAATAAAATCAATCAGGAAAAAATCATTTTAGTTTGAAAGAGAGTAAATAATTTTGTCATTTTGTAGATTTGGAGAGTAATATATCCATGTGCTTTTTACAAGAGTAAAAGTTTTGCTCCCTCATCTTTATTTCTAAATACACATGAGACTTATTAAGTAATTTGTAAAATACCTATTTATATATTTCTTAGGTATTGTCAAAATTTTTTAGACCAATATACTCCTATCTTGCATCCATTTTTTTAGTGCATATAACCAAAGTTGCCTTCAAAGTAAGTAATTAATTATTAATTTCAGTCACAGTTTATAATCACTCACCTTTTTTTCTGATGGCTTTTTATGAGTTGAGATCGATAAAAAACAATGGATCTGAAAGTGTCACACTTCTCAATCAGAACCATCTGCCTGCTCTTCTGTGAACATCAGAATCATAACTGAGAAAGAAATAAAAGAAAACATGGAGCAAAGAGAAGATGAGCAACAAAAGCCCGACGATTCCAGATTAAATCAGACTCTCAAGAACGCTCAGGGGTAATCAGTCAGTTGACTTTTCAATGTTTTCTCCGCTCGAATCTTGCATTTCCTTTTGCCCATCTTCTGATTTCAATATCTTACAATTCACTTCTTTAGATCTAATGATTGAAATGGATCGTTCCGAGTTTTGTGATCTTGTTGCTCTGTTACGTTATAGCTTTCTTAAAGGTAAGAGTATTCATGGTAAGATATTACTGACTAGGAGACCAGACCCTACTCCTGAGCCAATCTCTCCAACTTATCACCGGAGCTTGTCGGAGAATTACGCCGTTAGAAACGAACGAGCGTTTGGACAATCCCGTCGAGGTATTACAAGTTGGTGAAACGACTTGAATTTTTCTCTTCTTCTTGGAAAAGTTCAACAATTTGTGAGAGCTTATGGCAGTGGAAGACCATGACTCAAGCAAGAAACATGTTAATACATATGCGCCTAAGATACAATCAAACTCCTCTAGTGGGGAACAACTTGCTAAACAGGCCCAGAACCTCAAGATAGGTGGTAGATCGAGCGATTATGCTAGAGTTATGAAGTTCAACAAAGTTCTTTCCGAAACTACTGTCATTTTAAGTATACCTCTGCTTTGCCTTAAGAGATGGTCTCACGCATGTTGCTTGTTGCGTAACTGTTTTATTATGAGCAGACATGCATGTTTTATGCGTTTGACTAACATTAAAGAAGGAGGAGGACATGCTATCTTCACGTCAGTGTTCCCACTCGTTTCATTGTAACTGCATTGCTTCAAATGTGAAACATGTGAACCAAGTTTTCCCAGTGTGACTTGCCAAATGAAAATAAATCCCTATGCAGTATCCTCCATATTTGTTTACTCGACCTTATAATAATGTTTCAGCAACATCTGATAGTATCTGGTCATGGATCGGTTGGCGGGTTCTCTATTGTTAACTGGATATAAAAAATTGAAACCTTATTTACTATGGAAATAGCCGGTTAAAAGGGATTTTTGCATACAGAAAATTCTGATATTAACTTGTATGTAATTGATTTACGGTTTACAAGATTGTCCTATTAGTTGTGTTAGACAGCTAGAATATTTGTTGGGGCATCGTAACAAACCAAAAAATAGTCTGTCTGCGTCACATCTAAACGTAGATGGTTACATAGTTTATTATAGAAGGCTATTGTTCTGATAGTTATTGCTCTTGTAAGATAGAAAAATACATATTTTTCTAGATAATACAAATTCTAGACAAATATTATTTTATGTACACGGCTAATTGGCAGAATCAGTATATATACGATATCATTTTATTTAAACGGATTATAAATAAGAAAATTGTAATGTAAGTGATGTTAGACGGCTATTTTGGTGCATTGTAACAACCCAAAAGTAATAGAGGGTTACATGATTTATTAGATTGTATGTATACTTGTTGTTAGCTGGTTAACATCATTTTATAAATGTATTATAGATAAAAATGGTGGTAGATCATACACATGTGCCACAGCTTCTGATAAACATATAGGTATGGGCTTATTTACCAAATTCTGATTAATTCATAACAAGCATACAAGCAAAAGCTCTTACATTATAACTTCATATTATAAAACCAGCTAACTTCTTTAGATGGTGCTAATTGGAAAACAGTTATTCAAAAGTTTATCCATCCAAAAATTTACTACCCCTTGCTAAACTTTAAATTCCTTACATTGGATCTTCATATCATTTAAACAGGTTAACTTCCTTACATTCGGCTAATTGTTTCTATTAACGGTTACACACAAAATTAACCAGCAAACTTATCATCTCCTGGCTAAATTTTATGTTACATGTTTTACAAAAACTCGTAGGCATTTTGAAAATAGATCCTAAACTTCCATAGTATAATACAAGACCCAATCACTAATGGTTGTATCCACTCAACACCCACCATGGGTGTTATTCCTTCGAATGATGTCAAACAATTTATATACATTAAAAATTTGATCACATTTTATTTCCTGTCTAAACAATTTATTATCATGCCAATAAAATAAGGAATAATACAAACTATTTTTATAACCATTGTAACTGCACATCAAATAACCATAACATTATAAAAGCTTCCCCTATTTTCATATACTTAGCCGACCATCAGGCTTAGAAAAGAAAAAAAAAAGTGGTTTAGTTGTGACTAACTTTGCTAGTAACCATTAATTGCTTCCAAAGTTGAACTATTTTGTGCTTCCTATGTGATATATCATGATTTTAACCCACTTTTAGTCATGGTATTGATATGTTTTTATGATAATTATATATGTTTTGGAGTCTATTTAGAGTATTTACAGGTTCAGGAACGTTCTGGAGAAATATGGTGATTTTGGTGTCTTTTGGAGCCTTTAAGTGCAGAACTGCGCAAACGCGTCAGATATTTAGATATGGATGGAGACCTTTCCATGGTGAGATTTAGCTAATCTTTTGACACAAGATATATCTTTGAGCTAGCTTTCCAATGCCACCGGTTTGAGGTCAATCCAACGGTTAGATCAGAAGTTATGCCCATTTTACTGAAGAGTGGTCAGTCTGCCTCGCGAGAGAAGGCTGTCGAGAAGATATGTGCATGTGGATCGATGGGAGACACTTCATATCGGTCGATATGAATGCCAGAACGTGGGCTGACTATATTTCATAACCGACTGAAGCCCACAAGTTACCAAAATACCCTTGACGACTAGAAACCCTAGTTATGATATTTATAAGCCATTGGTTACGGCTATGCTATCTGGGCTTTCTTTGACATCTTTTGTTTCATTGTTCTTAGTTAGGAGAGAAGGGAGGATCTCCTATCAGAGTCCTCCTGGAACTCCATTGGTTTTTATATCTGTTACTATTTCAGTTTTATATCTATTCATCTATGATTTCTGTGACAATCTTCATGTCTGAATAGATCCATCTGTTGGATTTAGGGTTCAGATAGGTTGTGGGATTAGCCCCAACTATAGATTGCTAAGTTGTGATATTCATTGTTAGGATGTTCTTAATGCTTGTTTCTAGAGTCATGAACTAGAACCATGAACTGGAATAGTTTAATTTATAAATCTTCATCCTGATATCATCCTGTACAAGCTCAGATCTTAGGCACCAGCGATAGCCGGTCTATGATCTTGGTGAACACAGTTTCGGTTCGATCTTATGCTATAGCGATCGATACTCCTATAGAGTAATCGATCGACGGCAACCCATATCGATCGATACCGCGATAGCAACATCGGTCGATACTGTCGGCATTCAGATCAATGGACGAGTCTACTAACGATAGCTATAGATTTGTCTAAGAATTGAAGTTCTTATATATCATGCATGCAACTTGTTAGGCATCTATAGTATTATAATTCTGATTACCTGAATAGAAACCCTAGATCTAACAACCATCCTTCCATCCATCAAATCCTTGCCAAGCTGAACAATTACCTTGTTCATCTTGTTTACTGTTTTCAAGTTTATTTATTTACTGCATTAAAAATTATTAGCCTAGCTTAATCTTATAACTATTAGATCTATTAGGTTCCCTAGCTCCCCGTGAATTCGATCCCTAAGTACTACAATTAAACCTCTTATTTGAGAGAGTAATTCACTCCTTAGGGTTAAATATTTTAGTGATATCACTATGTGCTGAAGAGAAGCACGGAGTCACAGAATAGAGATTGAGGCGTTGAAGAGAATCGAAGGCGCTGCAAAGAAGCGGAATCACAGCAGAGGCGGAGGTGCAGTAAGTGAACGGAGGCGCGTCTTTGGTTTCAGATCCAAAAGAAAGTTCGACGACATCACCAACAAGTAAGAGAGAAGAAATCGGCAAGATGATCCATCGCCTCATACATAGTAAAGGAGAAAGACGAGATTCAAAATTTGAATTGGAAAAAAAAACCTCTGTGACTCTTCGACAATATCGCTAGAGAGAGCGTTTACATTTTTTTTCTTTTTGGTTTCTTAGTCAAAAGAAAATCTTTTAAATATCTTTGAAAATCCTACATATAGCTATAATTGTACGTCTATAAATTGATCTGACCTTAGCATATGGACACTAAAGTAATATGCTTTGACACGGAGAAAAACAAACCCCCACAATATTTTTCTATTGGGTATTTTGCTAATTTCAACCTTTGTTTAGGATTTTGACCTAATTAACTCTTTCTTTTACTCTCATTACCTCTGATTTTATTTACTCCAAATTACTCTCTTTTCACCAATCACACTCATTACCGCTAATCTTATAACATGTGAAGAGGAGATAAAGACGTGAGAGGGCGAGAGTTTTACATGCACATTAGCTCCTATTTATTGTAGTAAGTCGGTCAAAAAAAAACATAAGAAGAAAACAATATATATTTTAATACCTCAGGCCGACAATGAAGAGAATTTCATCTCTTGGATATATACTTATGGGAGATTTAGTGTAATAACCAAAATCAAATTTTAAATTTGCGGTTTGCCTATTGATGGACATTAGTTGTCCAAAACATACAATTACGCCTGAAAATATTCAAAATGCCATTCTTCAACTGACATATTTTTGGTTGGTTACAGAGAAGTGTCAGGAGAGAGAGTGTCCACATGTTGTTCACATGTTTGTTAGATTTTTTTAATGCTAAAAATATTATCAAATAATAATATTTTTGAAAATATAATATAAAACTATTATAATAGATAAAATAATTTAACATTTGATATAATTGAAAACATAAATTACAATTGATTGCAAGATTTCAACATCTCTAAAATCTACAATTTGTTATAAATTCGATATTAGTGTTAGATTAATTGTTAGCGGTTAACTCATTTGTTAACTGATATATGTTTTGTTACCGGATAAATTTACTCCGTTCGAGAGACAAAATTGAAACTTCAACAATATTTACTTGATAACATATAATACTTATTGCATGTATTGACATCTACAAATTTGTTAACAACTAACACATCTGTTAACAATTATGGTACATGTATTTGTTAACATCTAAGACATATGTTAACATCTACAAATTTGTTAACAGTTAATGCCTCTGTTAATACAACTGGTACATGTATTTGTTAACAACTAACATCGCATTATTTTATATATATTATTAACAATAGATCTGTTAATATTATATATAGCAAATAATAATTTGAAAACTCAAGATAAAAAATATTTCATCATATAAAGAAAAGAATAAAAAAGTTAGAAGAGAAAATGACGGAAAAAAAAAGATGATGACGGAGTTTAAGGGTGGAAAAGAAACGAAATCAAAAGAAAGAGAAAGAGTGTCAGAAGTGAGAATGATGGGAGTATAAACAAAGAGAGACAAAAAGGCATTCTGATCATTAATTTGGAAAAATCACATCATGAATACTTTACTAATTAGGAAGATGATTTAGGATGTCTCAGCAAATTATCTTTATACTTATTTGCATCTCCAACTTATTGAGTGATTATATATCCAAGTGCACCTAAAGGCTCACTAAATACTCATAGACACGATAATGAAACACATAACCAACCGAAAAAGTCTAAAATGGACCAAAACAAGTCGCAAAAGTTCTGTTGGTGATTATGTTACAAAAATACCGATCTATGGCCACAAAAATTAGCTGTTACCGAATTCATGCCTATATAACTGAAGACTGAATTGGTTGTGAATTAACATGTATGGATCATCGTGAATTTAGCCTTAAGTAGTATGGTTATGCGTTAGTAGCTATTGCCAATACTTTATTCAAAAATCTTCAACTAGATCGGGTTGAAGAAGAAAC